TGTCTGAACAAGAAAGCCCACATCCACTCAGGAGAAACTCAGCAATTCTGATACTAGACAGCAATTTGTGCCATGAGTCCTTTTAAAGGGTATCTTTAACTGTCCCGTTTCACAGGGATGTTTCTTAGAAGGGGTGATGATGTGGAAAATTCGGTGAAAACATTTGGCCAGGGGTCCAATAATACACGGTCTAAATACATGGCTCAGAGAACAGAGAGCTGGTATGTTTTGAAACCCAGGAAAATTAATACTGTGGTAAATTAAACAGGGTCAAGATAGAAGACAGTGCTAGAATATGTCTTATATAATGCTGTTTTATTATACATCGGTATGCAACCTGCAGGTTAGCTCAAAGTGCCCGTTACGTCACGGTGATAGGGTTCTCATGCTAGGGAATCAGCAACATTTCCCAGACGAAAACACTGATAATAACAGGAGGAAGTATTAGAGTGAAACTCAATCTATTCTGTTATGACCTGCTCACCCAATCAAGTAAATTTTGATTTCTTTTAAAAGAAAAAAGTTACTACAACCACTGGGTAAAACTGCCACTCTACTCACCATCTAAGACCATAAAAGAGGATTTTTCAGCCATCAAGAGAACCAATCTGACACGGACAATATTGTATTCAATAGCATACTTATATCTCTGGTAAAATTTAAAAAATGGCAGTTTTATCCATAGAAAAGGCTTTTGTGACCAATTAGATAAGTGCCTTTCTTTTCTTTTTTAAAATCATTTTTTATTGTTCAGTTATAGTTGACTTACATAATATTGTATTAGTTCCAGTGATTAGACATTACATTACATATGAAGTGGTCATCCCAATAAATCTTGAACCCATCTGACAGCATACATAGTTATTAGAATATTACTGACTACATTCCTTGTGCTGCAGTTTACATACATCCCTATGACTATGCTGTTACTACCAATTTGTACTTCTTAATCCCTTCTCCTTTCCACCCATCCCCCCAAACCCCTCCCATCTGGCAACCATGTTCTCTGTATCTATGAGTCTGTTTGTGTTCTGTTTGTTCATTTATTTTGTTTTTAGATTCAACTGTTGACATATATATTTATTGCCATTTTTATTGTTCATATTTTAGATTTTTTCTTTTCTTCTTCTTGAGGAAGACCCTTTAACATTTCACATAACACTGTTTGGTGGTGATGAACTCTAACTTTTTCGTGTCTGGGAAGCTCTTTATCTGTCCTCTAAGTCTAAATGACAGTTTTGCTGGATAGAGAATCTTAGTTGTAGGTCTTTGCTTTTCATCTCATTGAATATTTCATGCTGGGCTTGGCAGAGCCTAAGTGAGGCCAAGCTGAGGACCAAGGCCAGCTGCTGCCAGGACCAGGCCTAGAGCCACTTAAGGAGAGGTATGGGGCATGCCGATGCCAGGTGCCGCTTGTTTGAAAAATTTTAGACCACAGGTGGCAAACACAAGGCCTGTGGACCAAATCTAGCCCTCCACCTTGTTTTATCCTGCCCGGCACCTTGTTTCTACCCGGCGGCAGCACCAAGCTCCTTGCCCTTAGTTAAGGAGTAGTTACACTTATACAGTCCTAAAATTATATTCGCCCCTTTGAAGGCACCCGAGAGGCTGATGTGGCCCCTGGTGAGAATGAGTTTGACACCGTGTTTTAGGGAAGTATGAAGCATGAGCTAAGACAAGCCATTCGTATGGAAAAACTACTTGAGACATCTTGGGTAGACCTGCAAGTTGGTGGAGTGGGGTCTCAGGGAATCACCAGCTCAGAGCAAAATACCATAGACAGGTTGATGGAGACTCAGATATGGTGTCCACCTGCCAGCTCTGTGCGGCAAGGTCTCAGAAAAGAACAATGGCCTCTGCCAGCACTCCTGTCTGGGAGAAGGCTGCCCCTCCAGACTCTTACCCTGATGACAGACACTTCATTTCTTCCCCATGTGTCCCATGCTTTTTTGAGCTTCTACCCGAGTACTGAGAGGGACTCTGAGTAAGTCTACACATGGGCCCTTTAAGATAAACTGCCTGGGACTCTAGCCCTCCATCTCACTCAGCCACAATCCCCGCTGGTTTTTACGGCCTGAGGTTATGGGGACTTCTCTTCCTGGCACTGGAACCCTGGGCTGGGAGCCTGTTGTGAGGCTGGAACCCCTCCCTCCTCAAAGGGGGCCTCCAGAGCCAAGACATCCCTCCCAATTTTCATTTACCACACATGGGTGTGCAACCAGCCATTCCGCATCTCCACCCCTCCTACCAGTCTTAATGTGGCTTCTCCTTTATACCCTTAGTGCTGTAGGCCTTCTGTTCAGCTAGATTCCAGGGAGCTCTCAATGACAGCTGATCTGTAGTTTAGTCGTTATTTTGACCAGGTCCCTTTGTTTTCAAATCAGGCCCAAATAGAATGAATGGTTTGGCTGGGTTCACAGAGCTAAGCGGAGCAGGGGCCAGTCTGCACCTCAGTGTCCCAGTTAGATTAACACCAACTAACTTAAATGCTCATTTCTCTTCTGTGATGTAAACACATTTAGTTCATATGGCTATTAAATCAACTAATGTTAGCTTCAGGTTTTCTACCTTAAATCTCATAGGTACCTCATTCAACAAATACTTACCTACCAAAATGCCAAACAGTTTCCTAGCTTAGTTTGCTGCAAAACAGCACTAATACTGTTAAACTTCAATAAACAGTAAAACCTAAAACAAAACAAAAAATCTAGTACTCATATCTAAGTATTAGGAGGATGGTAATGTTTAATATTTAATAAACAAGTCTTTCTAGAATTACTTTGAGACCACAGTATCAAATGTCTTTTCTATAGTGTAACTAATATCACCAATAGATGACCAATCTCTCCCCTCAGGAGAGTGAATTCAATATGCCGGTTACAAGCACTAGACAGAATGGTAGGAAAGTGTCACACAAGAGTGACATGTCTATGCAATTCAAAAGATGAAAACAAGTTGTGAATTAACATTTGGTGGTGGGACCCAAAACAATACATGTTTTGTTTCTAGAAGTTTAAAAAGGCACACTTAATACTTAAACTTCTCTGCAAAATACACTTGATTGTTTTAAGTTTTTAACAGAGTTTATGTAGGGACTCAAATGCTATATGGAGCTCTTGAAATCATATCAGGGAGCTTCTCAAACTAAACAGCAAAAAACCAAAATTAAGAAAGGTGTAGTCACGCCAGGGCTTTCTATGGGAGAGCATTTGCCAGGTGCCATAACCACTCACAGCTGAGCCCTGGAGGATGGGAAAACCAGCAGGAGCCACAGATTACCCTGACAACCGTGCTGACAAGCGCAGGTGCTGCCACCAAGTCGTGACCATGGACACTGGGCCAGCCTTGGCCAAATGTAATACAACATGTTCCTGCTCTCTTGTGCTCCAGATGCAATGTGCTCTTTGAAATGCAATTTTGCTACACTAACGAATCAATTTCAAACCCCCACCCTGCCCCTGAAAAAGACACTGGAGTACCTACCATATGAAGGATGAAAACTGTGTATTTCTCAAAATTACTAAATTCCTATAAGGCACACTCATAATTTCAGAAAAGGCCAAATATAATAGGGAATACTCACTTGAGATACTATTAATGACAACTCATTGCAAGCTGTCAGGTTGCAAACATCACTGGTCTTTCCCCTCTGCTGAGTGTGCTAAGGCACTACCCTAGATGTACCATCAGGAGGGACACCCGGGGGGTGGGGGGAAGGGCTTGGACTGATAATATGAGAGAGGGCAGTTTGGGGTTCCATAAAAATTCTACTCAAAATGTTAGATGTAATAAAAAATCGAATCATTCATTTATGTTTAAATAGTGTATGGTGAAGGGTATTCCTTGTATTGTGTTGTTTTACTGTTTGGTATGTCTTTGACAGTCAAGTGCTACACTTATAAAAAAGTACAATTTACAAGGTGGAAAAGCCTATCTCTCCAATTACCCTATTAAATCTACCATTTTACATTTTAAGGAGTCAGCCCCCCTTCCTAGGTATTAGTTACATAATACGACTCTTCCTCAGTCTCTTTCAAACATAGGATAGGCATTTTAAAAATGCAATTAAATATTTCCTGCATCAATCCAATCTCTGAAGCCCTGAGATAGCTGCAGGGAACAAATAAACAGGAAGTGAAAGTGAAAAGACTATGGCATTGCTTTCTGCTTTTCTTTCAAACTGCACAGCTAAAAGATAAAAAATATTTTTCTCTTTGACAACTGAAACTAATTAGTGGGTGTGGGGGTGGGTTACAAACTACAGCTCAGAAACTATGCCCTTCGGAACCACACACGTGGAAGGCTCTTTTTGAAAGGCTGTCTTTACTGAGTGGGCTGAGGTCGGGCTCCTTCTCACAGCCCCAGTGACACGCAGCACTGCCCCCTGCTTCCTGTGTCTTTTTCAGTGCGCATCCACAAGCAATGGTCCACGAGGCCATTGTGTCAGACCAACTGTTACTCACAGCACACGCTCGTGATTCACCCCTCTCGGCTCTCGAAGCAAAACGCGAGTTATTCTTCCCTCCAGGGAGGGGAGGGGCTCGCGGTTCTCAGGCTGGAAACGTCACTCCGACCACAGTCCACACTCGAGCAGTCAGTCCTCTGGGCTTCAACGTTAGCACCCTCGGGCGCTGACTACCACGCCGGGGCCACAGCGGGCTCTGAAACTTAACTCCGGATCACTGTCTGGACACGGAGAAACCGCCTCCCGGGGTATTTTGCTTTCCCAGGGCCGCACGCCCCAGGGTCCCGGCATCCCGACCAGGCCAAGGTGACGACACGCGCGCCTCCAAACCTCTGGCCTCTCCTGACTTCGGCCCGGGCGCGACCCCGGCCCTGCATCTGCTGCCCCGCGACCACTGTCGGATCCTCCAGCGCGCGAAAACGAAGTGAACTTCCCGGCCACTCGGCTTCCATTCTACAGAAGTGGCCTCCCAACAAACTTTTCCAGCCGCCGCCCCTGCCCCCGAGACCCCAGCCGCGAAGCCCGCCTGTCTTACCTGGGACGTCAGCGGCTGCGGCCCCGAGCGGCCCGAGGTGTTGAGAGTCTGCGGCCGCCGCGGGTGCCAGGACCGGGAGCACCTTAGGAGCATCATCCTGACCTCGCGGGGCTCCCTCCAGATCTGCGGGCCTTTTCGACTTGGGGGCTGCACGAGCTCGCCGAGGGCGCCCCGCCTCGTTCCGCGTCTCCCGCCTCCCAGCTCCCCGCCCGAAGCTGCCTGGGCGGGCTGGAGGAGGGTGTGCCGCTCTTCCACTTCTCGTCTGTGCGCACACCCCAGCGCGAGACTGTTTTCTCTCCTCCGACCAAAAAAAAAAAAAAAAAAAGTGGGGAGGGGGAAGAGAAAGAGCGCGAGGACTAAGCGCCCTACGCACCGCAGGTTTCCGGCGGCGCCGGGCGGCCTCCCCTCCGCCCGCCCACCGAAGCCCCGGCAGTGTCAGCGGGCTGCCCGCACCTGGGGAGCGGGAGAGCTACAAGTCGGAGCTCGCTGGTAACTTTGTGTTCTGAGAGGGGCCCTTCGGCTCTGGCCACTTAGCTCAGTTGGTTAGAGCGTCCTCCTTCGGGAAACGCCGACGTTGCATGTTGATCCCCGGTCAGGGCACATGCAAGAGTCAACCAGGGTGGGTGGAACAACAAATCGAGGTTTCTCTCTGCCTCTTTGTCTGTCTCTCTCAAATCAGTAACTACTGGGAAAAAAAATTTTTTAAGGTAAAAAAGGGGGGGACATCGGAGGTCTGTCTAGAGGTTGGGCCCCTGGACCCCTGGACCCCTGGCTGATCTCTGCTGCTAGTGACCGCGGGGGGTCGATGGACCCTAAGCCCATCTCTGTGAGGCCCATCTCTGCCTGGCCTGAGGTGTCGTACTCGCCAGATAGTGGCTCACCCCTAGCTCCTTGGGACCGTCCTACAACCTCACTGGCTTCTTTTTTGAAGCATGCTTTTAATTGTTAAAAGAACTGGAACTTAGTCTTCCCAACACCTGGGAAATATGCTTTGTTTTAGAGACTTTTTTTTTAAGATTCTCCCCTGAGGAGATGTTTCCATTGATTTGAGAGAGAGGAAGACAGGAGAGAGAGAGAGAGAGAGAGAGAAAAAAGAAGGAAGGGAGGAAGGGAGGAGGGGAGGGGAGGGGAGGGGAGGGGAGGGGAGGGAAGAAGTGTCCACGTGAGAGAGTAACCTCGGTGATGCGTGGAAACTGCCACCCGGGTATGTGCCCTAACTGAAATGGAATCCAGGACCTTTTGGGATACGGGAGGAAACTCCGGCCAATCCACTTGGCCAGGGCATCTTGAAGACTTTTTGTTGGTGATAGCAAATAAGCATCAACCATTTATTTAAGAGCAACCTAATCCAAACCATCACATAGTTTACTTACAGTAAGTTGTTACATAAAACACACGAGGCCTGGTTATATTTGAATTTCAGATCAACAACTAATAAATTGTTTTAGTGTTAAGTATGTCCCAAATATTTATTGAATGGGTCACATTCATTTTGAAAAGAAATATGAAATATTTGGGATATACTTATACTAAATCATTTGTTGTTTATCTGTAATTCAAAGCTGACAAACACTGGAACAAGTAGCAAATCTCTCCTGATGATCATCTCTTTATTGAAAAAAGATGGTGGTTTCTATGACAGCAAAACCTTTGTCAACTCAAAGACAGAGTCACTTGTGTTAACTAGCATTTGCATTTCAAAATACAGTTGCCCCAGGCAGAGAGTGACACCGTAAACATTAAGTCCACATGGGAAGGTAATTTACCTGAGTACTTTCCTTCTATTTTAGCTAGTGCTCCAAATGAAAGAAATGAGTTTTATGTTGACTATTGTGAATAATTCTGAAATGAACAGTGGGAACACAGATATATTTATGAGATACTGATTTCACTTTTTTTGGATAGTTACCCAGGAGTGGGATTGCTGGATCTATGGTAGATCTATTTTTAATTTTTTGAAGAACCCCCATAGTGTTTTTTATGTGGTTGCTGCAATTCACATTCCCACCAATAGTGTACAGGGGTCCCTTTTCTCTAATAGCCAAGATATGGAAACAACCTACGTGTCCATTGAGAAAAATGGATAAAGAAGATGTGAGCTAGCTTGCTCTCACTCTCTCCCTCTCCCTCTCACCCCCTCTCACCCCCTGCCTACACCATGCCTTCTTCCCCCCTTCCTTCCCTGAGGCACGTGCCTTTTCTTCCTCTCTCCTAAGCTCCAAGGGCCCTTCTTCTACCTCTGTAACTTGTTTTCTGAGTCCACACAGCCCAGCTGGCTCAATTCTTCTACCTCTGTAAAGATAAAAAACAAACAAAAAGAAAATGTGATACATAACCATATGTCCATTATGTGTTATATATTCTCTATTACCATATTATATGCTATTATATACCATGCATATATATACCATGGGATATTATTTGGCCATTAAAAGAAGGAAATCTTGCCCTGGCTCTTGTGACTCCTTGGATTGAGTGGCCAGCCTTTGAACTAAAGACTTGCGGGTTGGATTCCCAGTCAGAGCACATGCCTCAGTTTCTGGCCAGGCCTCCAGTAGGGGGCGTGTGAGAGGCAACCACACAATGATGTTTCTCTCCCTCTCTTTCTCCCTTCCCTCCCTGCTTTCTCTAAAAAGAAATAAATAAAATCTTTAAAAATAAAAACAGGGAAATCCTGCCATTTAGGATAGATAACATGTGTGAATCTGGATGTCAGTATGCTAAGTGAAATAAATCAGAGAAAGGCAAATACTATGATCTCACTTTTATGTATATCTAAATAAGTCAAACTCATAGAACCAGAAAATAGAGCAGTGGTTGCCAGAGGCTGGGTGATGAGAAAAATGGGGAAAGTTTGGTCAAGGGATACAAATTTTCAGTTATAAGATGAATAAATTCTGGGGATCTCATGTACATCACTGTGACTAAACCAATAATACTGTAAAATATATTTAAAATGTGCTAAGAGTATATATAAACTGTACTTACTACACCCCCAAAAAATATATGTGAGGTGATAGAAGTGTTAACTTAGTTGTGGTAATTATTCACCATTTATCTATCTATCTATCTATCTATCTATCTATCTATCTATCTATCTATCATCTATCTATCTATCTATCATATCAAGGTATCACATTGTACACTTTAAATATATACACTTTTTATTTGTCAATTATACTTCAGTAGAGCTGGGGCTGCAGAAAGAAAAGCATTTTAGTAGAAAGGAAATGAAGAAGAGGAGAAAGTGTCCATTTTGGAATACAGAATTTGCCCCTACACATCACTGTGGGGTTTGTTTTTTTTTTTGCTACATTCCCTTTAATTGCCTTTTCATAGGTCAACAGTTTTATAATACTTTCTATACAGGAAATAGAAAAGATAACTGTCTTTTCTGCAGCATGTTGATTTGTTTCATGTCATTGATAATTTAGAAAAGTGTTTCTACACTTTATTACTCATTATTGGTAATGTGTCTTTCTAATGACTGTTCTTAAATTTGGGGAAACTTTCACTGAGTGTTTTTCATAGCTTAGCAGTAATATTCAAAAGAATATTCCACAAACTAGTTTCAGGGTCCTTTCACTTCAAATTTTACTTCTTTTAAAAGAATTTATTTTAATTTTTATTTTAGAGAAGAGGACTGGAGGGAGGAATGGAGGGAGAGAAACATCCATGCAAGTGAGAAACATCGATTGGTTGCCTTCAATACTCACCGCAACCGGGGACCAAACCCACAACCCAGGCATGTGCCCTGACTGGAAATCAAGCCGGCGACCTTTCAGTTTGCAGGACAGTGCCCAACCAATGGAGCCACACTGGCCAGGGCAGACATCATCACGTTTTCACTAGCCACGTACTTCAGGACACTTGGCACTGTATGTCACATTCATATGGCAGTACAATACCTGGCCCTGCACTTTTGGGTGACAGCACTTGGTAAGTTGGTCCAGTAGATGATAGGATTATTCTTGGAAGTCATTCCTACATGGGCATGGCTACCAATAATTTAATAATACATGAAAATGACAGTAAGCCTCATAAAATATGCCACTAAACCCAAACTAAATGTATCTCCAACTCAGCTTTCTCTGTTGGATCTTGAAAATGGCCATGGCCACTCAGCCACCTGATACATAGGGTGGGTTTGGCAGAGGGGTGGTTGCACAAGAAAGAGACTGGGGTCTTAACTGATTTCAGTTAAAATGTCTTACTTTTAGAAATATTTTCAAAAATATCACCAAGTGAACACGATGCTGGGAACACCACCTCCAAGTGCCTTGGAAGAGGCTTGTGCGAGTGAAAAGCCCTGAAGCTTAAGCTAAATCACCTTTTCTAACATATAATTCCTCAATAAATGCTATTATTATTACTCCAGACTGTTCCATAACACTTAGTACCTGGCTATTTCATAGCGTGTATCACATTTTGTTTATTTGCACTCATGTCTGGCTCTCCAGCTGGATTATAAATGCACAGAAGCATAACAACATTCACATCATAGAGACACCAGAAGAGGACGAGAGAGAGCAAGAGATCGAGAACCTATTTGAAGAAATAATAACCAAAAACCTTCCCTAACCTGATGAAGAAAAAGACACATAAGTCCATGAAGTTCAGAGAGTCCCAACAAGATGGACCCAAAGAGGCCCACACCAAAACAAATCATAATTTAAAATGGTAAACTTAAAGAAAAGGAGAGAATCTTAAAAGCCACATGAGAACAGTAGTTAGTTACCTAACAGGAAGCTCCGATAAGACTGTCATCTTATTTCTCACCAGAAACATTTCAGGCCAAAAGGGATTGATACAAAATGCTCAAGGTGATGAAAAGTCAGGACCTACAACCAAGATTACTTTACCCAGTAAGGCCATCATTTAAAAGTAAAGGAGAAATAAAGAGCTTCCCAGACAAAAAAAGCTAAAGAGTTTGTTACCACAAAACCAGTATCACAACAAATTGTTAGAGATTGTCTTAAAAGAATAAAAAGAGCAATATAGTTAAAAATAAAATGGCAATAAAGTGACTATCGATAGTCACTTTAAATGTAAATGTCTTAAATTCTCCAATCAAAAGAGATAGGTTAGCAGAATGTGTAAGAAAACAAGGCCCATATATATGCTACCTTCAAGAAACCCATCTCAAAACTAAAGATGCACACTGACTAAAAGTAAAAGGTTGGGAAAATTATTTCATGGAAATGGAAAGGAGAAAAAAAGCTGGGGTAGCAATATTTATATCTGACAAAATAGGCTTTAAAACCAAGACTAAAGTAAGAGACACTAC